CAGGGTCTGTCGGGAGCAAGCAGAGGATGAAGCTTACCAGAGGGAAGATGACGTGGACTTTTTGAGATGGCGCATACCTTGCAACCTCTCACGTACATTCTGATGTCCGCTGCCATGTTAGGCCATCAGAAGCGTTCTCTTACCAGCGAGAGGGTCTCATTGACCCCTGGGTGGCCAGTGCCTAGCGATGTGTGGGCAGTGTGGATGAGAGGAGTGCACCGAGTCCAGGTGATGTAAAGTAAACCTGGTGGGAAACCCGAAAACCTCTCTGAAATGAGGGAAAGCAATGGAGAGAGATTGGATTATAGAACTCTTCTGGGACCAGAGTGATTCGGCCCAGCGCTGTACTTGCCATTCAACTGTAAAATTACAAATGCAACTTTAGCAAGGTCATTTGGATACAGGTGTGGTTGCATTTCCAAGACCAGGGAGCATTGTAAGATGACCCCATTGCAATCCTCCACCTATCCTGAGAAGGGCATCAGTCCTGACTGATGGGACTGACTAGCACCGATGGAGAAGTAATGACGACTACGTCGGCAGAAGTGGACACTGTGGAGCAGACGGTAGAGACTGACGGACATCGTCAACGACTTCCTGGAAGGGATCTGCGGTGCTCATGCTGAGGTTTGTCGGTCTTCCCTTTGTTGGTCCGGTATTCAAGACAGAAGAGACTGACACAAGGATGCAAGTAATATAATGTTTATTGGACAACCAGGTGAAAGTTCAGCAGTGCAGGTGAAGGAACGTGGGTGAGAAGAGATCCAGACAATCAATCTCAGACAACACACTTTGAATACTTGCAGTTGGTGATGATGAAGACAAACTGGAATTTGCGAAGACACAGGAGAATGAACTGGTGATTAGGATCAATGTTGTTGACTCGGAGAAATCACAAGGAGACTGGATAGCAGATATTGGAGTCCAGATTTTTTTTTTTTCAATTCTATTTATTAATTTGTTGTCCTTGGATTCAGACTTGGGTGGACTTGTACTCAGAATGTACATGGTCTCGGACAGTAAGTGACAACATAAAATAAATATGACATGAACGTCTCCCACTTATTAAGGATTTGGACTCAACTCGGACTCAACAAGGTGGCCTTCAACACAATGTTTGTTTTCCCTTTCCTTGTTAACAGCTATATGAATCAGGCAGTCTGTTACATTTCTGTTTTCTTCCAGAGCTGAATCACTGACACTACCAGCTGCTGGTTGATAATAAGATGGCTCATAATGCTGGACCTAAATGACATTATTACTGCAACATATGCCCTTACATCACATGCTTCTGAATACATCCTTCTGATTGGTCAATAGAGCATCACAGTCCGAGAGAGCGCCGGTGCCGGAAGTAAATTTCCCATTCATTTTTCCCATTGACATTTTGTAAAATCCATATCTAAAGAGTATTAGATCATGTCTGAGGATAACCAGCTACGACTGAACTCATAAGCATACAACATATCATTTCAAGTGAAAAAACGAAGAGAAAATCCAAAAAAGGCAAAGGTACAAGCCTCTACATATTTTCATTTCCGAGCAAAGGAACTACTCCTCCCATAAACCACCGCGACTCACTGAAGTCGTCTGAAAGCCACCGTGAAAGAGCCTTTTGAGTGACTTCCAAAGCTGACGACGGCCGCTTGAACTTTTTCCTCCAGTGAATTTATATAGTGAATGTGCAGGAAAACTCCTTTTCCTCGATTTACTGAAGCTTATGCACATGCTAAAACATTGAGCATCTGACTCTCTCATTGGCTGTGTTGCGGCTACCGTATATCCAATGGCTCGGTGTCGTCTCTGAGGTGCGACCAATGAACTTAGCCCTACGTCATTACGCGATCTTCAGTCTTCACGTACCTTCGCGGGGTTTCAGACACGTGACACGAATTCCACTCAGATGCATCACTGTGGGATTGTGGGATTGTTCAGGATTGTGGGTAATGAAGTACTTATCCAGTACATCGCAAATAAAAGGGATTTATCTTAAAACAAGGTTAGTGCCCCATAGGGTTGGGTATCGTTTGATTTTGAACGATTCTGATTCCGATTCCGATTCCTTGTTTCGATTCCGGTTCCTAACGATTCTCGATTCCGATTCTTTTAAGAGGCAGGGTCAAAAAAGTTTAGCTAACCTTGCTAACCAACGGCCTTTCTGAAGGAAATAATCCTTCTGTAAAAAATACTCCTTTTGTCACTAATTTAGCATTTTGCCGAGATTTCGTTATTTTTAGAAAAGTGAACCCACAATTTGGATCGCCGACGTAAGGTACTCATGTTCGACTCGCGTGGTTATGCCAACACTTCCGGTAGACGCTTCTTCGTTGGTGTTGTTCGCGGTTTCTTCTTCCGCTCGGCGGACTGTGAATATCGAAACTAGGAATCGAAATTTTTACTTTTGAACGATTCCGGGAAAAACGAAAAGCTAGTCTCGGTTCCAATCGATACTCGATTCTCGATACCCAACCCTAGTGCCCCATGATCTTTTGGCGTTTATATGAGCATATACAATCACTTAGTACAGCCGTAGCTGGTTTTAAGTCTACCATGTATCTTTACGTTTTTATGGCTTATAACTCAAATGTCAATGGAGAAATTGTATTGAATTTTTACTTCCGGCACCGGCTGTGGGCGGGACTGTGATGCTCTATTGCAGCATTGAGTGATTTCACCAGTGCCATTCACTTAAAGGTGCAATGTGTGGTATTTCTGAGGGTCTATTGACAAATGATATATACGATCCATAACTATGTGTTCAGTGGTGAATAAAGACTTTACTCAATGAACTGTTATGTTTTTATTACCTTAGAAAAAAGACATTTATATCTAAATAACCGCAGGCACCTCCTTCTATGAAGGTCGACATATTGTGACGTCATGTTTCTACCGTAGCCGACAGAGAACTAACAGCTCTACAGAATGTTTTTCATCACTACCTTGAAAGAGAAGCAGCAGAAAGCTAAAGCTAGCCATTAACACAGTGAGTAGTGACTTTTCGTATTTCGCATGCATTTTGTACTAACTGTAGCTTGTTTATTGAGGATGCAGGACAACCAGCTTATAAAGCATTACAGTAATCTAGTCTCGAGGTCATGAATGCATGAACTAACTTTTCTGCATCAGAAACAGATAGTGTGTTACGTAGCTTAGCAATGTTTCTAAGGTGGAAAAAGGCTGTTCTTATGTTACATATGATATTGTTATAAAATGATTGTCGAAAGACAAGTTGTGGTCTAGTATAACAAGCAGGTCTTTTACTGTAGTGGATAAAGTAACAGGACATCCTTCTAAATTAAAGTTGAGGTTTTGTGGTGGACCAACAAGTAATATCTCCGTTTCCTCAATCTGAATTTAATAGCTGGAAACTACACGTCATACAGTATTTTGTATTGTTAAGACACTCTGTCAATTTAGATGAGTTAGTGTTTTCATGTGGTCGTGATGAAATGTATAATTGAGTGTCGTCAGCATAACAGTGGAAATTAATTCCATGTTTTCTTATAATATTAGTGGCAGCATAAATATTGAGAATAGCAGAGGGCCTAACACCGATCCTTGTGGTACTCCATTGTCTACTGATGTTATCTTTGATTTTTTTTCCCCATTTAAACAGACAAAATGGTAATGGTCTGATAAGTACAATCTAAACCAGCTTAATGTCTGTCCCTGAAATTGTAGTCAATCCAAGAGTATTTTATGATAGTGTCAAACCCAGCACTAAGATCGAGTAGAACTAGTATTGAGATACAGCCTTGGTCAGAAGCTAAAAGTAAATCATTTGTAATTTTAAGTTTCTGTGATGATCCGGTCTGAATCCTGACTGAATTTTTTCATAGATATCATTTTCAACAAGAAAGAGCACAATTAAACTTTTTATTTTAGCCATAAATAAAATACTAAGTAAGTAAATAAAAGCCGTAAAGCGGTGTAGATGATACTGAGGGGCAATATTTGAGTCTGAATCATAAGACACCATAAAAGATTGTACATTTACAATTGTGTTTCTGATGCTTTCTATTTTCTCAGTGAAGAAATTCATAAAATTATTACTATACTGTAATGCAATATTTTGCTCTGGTGATGTCTGTTTATTTGTTAGTCTAGCCACAGTGTCAAATAAAAACCTTGGATTATTTTGGTTATTTTCTATTAGCTTGCAGAGATGCTCAGCCCTGGCTGTTTTAGAGCCTATTTTTAGTCTTTTCACGTGATTCTAAAGACCTCTAAATTAGTTTGTTTCTACTGCATTTACGCTCTAAGTTTCGAGTTTCTCTCTTGATATCATGTGTAGCACTGTTGCATTAGATTAAAAACTGTTAAGACCCACCACCATTATTAAACTCTAACTTTAAACTTATATTTTGGGACACAAATGTAGATAGCAAAGGCTTTACTTTAGCAGCAAGATTTCATCATGCTGTCAGCATGTGAGCGATAGAAAACTAGTTGCTTATAGAACAAGTCAAAAGTCTCTATGATATTCTGGTCTGTAGATATGATCTGGGTCCTTATATGACTTTTTTTTTTCATAAGATTGTTTATCTCACCAAGCTGCAGGATTTAAAGTGCTCAAGTGTGAAAATGCTACACGTTCAAAATAGCAACTAAACTTTTGTTGCAGTCCATGAAACTCGAACTGACAATACTGAGCAAGAAAATTCAGTACAGAGTAATTTTATCAATAAGAACAATTCAGTATAACATACAATATAATGTTATGGTCCAACAAATGAGGCACAATCTTTTAGATGTGTTATTAAAAATAATATAAAATTAGATGTATATTTATATGTTTACTGCCTTTGTGAAAGAGTAACAAATGGGTGACAATCTTATTTTAAAAAAGGTAAGATTCTTTTTATGACACCCAAGAATTAAGATTATTAGGACCATTTCTGATGGACAAGGAAATGCTGTAAGTAATTTTCATTTCCCCAAATTGTAAAAAAAAAAAAAAAAAAAAAAAAAATCATCCAGCCCTGTTACCGGAGTTATTAAAAGAAAAGATTAGACACAGGCTTTTTCTTGTTCTGTAGGAAATAGAAGTTAGATACAAATTAGCATTTGATCCCGACCAGATGTTGCTTTAACCAAAAATATTTCGTCATTGACAGAAATTTGTTTAGCTGTGATAGTGTGATTGAATTATCTGAAAGTCGTCCGTCAATTTGACAGATTAAATTGAGGCTGATGTTTTGTAATTTCACTGTAATTCTCACTCCTGTCCACTTGGTGGCGAGTGCGGTCTTACTGACTATCAAGTTAATGGTCAACGAAAGACTTTTCTGAGTTAGGCTGTTTAATGTCTTTCTGTGGTTGAAACACTGATTGATTATGAGAGACAGACATTATACGGATTTCGGTCAACAACATAATCCCTGATGTTCATTCAAGTTTATTTCGTTCTGTAACGTTGTAAATTGGACGGAATTAATCTTCACTACTCACGATCGATCCACTTCACTTGAACTGAGGCGAGCTGTGTTCTCTCGCACCACATTAAAGAGCGCCAAAACGGTAGGACCTACTTATTGTTTGAAATTTTGTGATAAAATTGACATAATTTGAAAGCTGAGTCTTTGTTTCAAAGCGTAAATAACAAAGCACAAATCTTATTGCGATTTTTTTGGACAAACATTTATGATGAAACCTGAAAAGTAATTCAAAGTGTCTGTTCAACTTTCTCTTCATAAATAAATAAATGCATAATCTAGCCTAGGCTATATACTTGTCCTGTGTACGTTCATGAAAAAAAACAGAGCCTATTAAATGTCTTATTATCATTAAATCGTGAAAATTAAAATGACATGGTAATAACCAATTCTAAAAGCCTTCAAATAGACCTCTGGTCCCGACTTAGCTATAGCCTTTACTATGTACTAGCTTGATTTAGGCTATATTTTCCACCCTGTTACCAAATCTGACATATTTTAATGGTCTATTGATGTTCATTTAATCTCTGAAATTTTGGTAACAGGATTTGAGAAAAACTGCAAACCACAAGGACACTAAAACGGCTCATAATATTTAGACTGATCCCCCAAAGTGGATAATAAACATTTTCGGAAGGTTAGGCACCTCATTTTAGGCCCTGCTTGGTAGCCTACCCTATTCATTGAATGTGCCTTATAGGCTACTCTTAATGTGTCTAATGGAACGATACAAATACTTAAGAATACCTTGAAATTTCCTCTTTTAATAGAACACTTGGTTTTGTTTTTCATGTCAGATCTCTAGAAATAATTGCAAACACTGACTGACATCCAAGAGAGTTGAATCATAGATGCTCACTGACCTTGAAACCCAGCAAATGAAAGACCAGGCCTGTTTCATCATGTGCTCACCGTTGCAGACTCATAAAGAGTAATTACATAGTTGTCCATCCAAAAGGCTATGATTTTTAAGGATATTGGGCCAAAAATGCTTTTTGCAGTACAATTGGAGAAGAGGGCGTCTAACTAGACATGACAAATTTTATCTAAATTGAGTTGTGATTCAGTTATGTCCACTCTCAGGCAATGACCATTTAAAATACACTTTGGCTTCAGTCACTGATGTTGATTAAAAAAAATACTATGAGCCAAAAGTAAACTAGTGAAAAGAATACTAATGTTTTAGCACAGTGCTAATTTAGACCACTTGGTTAAACCTTGCTGCCAGTGGTTGGTATATGGGTCAAAGACGTGACGCTTGCTTTTTCTGTCCGACTGAACTTTTTACCAATTAATAAACATTAAAATTAATAAAATTATTACATGTATGTCTACCACCTCCCTTATACATATGTCCACTCTTATTTCTTTAAAAAAATAATTGGTTTATTGGCATTTTCTGCCACCTGAAGTGTGAAAACATCATGTGGGGCGACCGTCTGGCCATGACTTCTGTTTGGACAACTGGTTTTAAATCAAACTAAAATAATTTAAATATAATCCTTACCCTATTTGGCATAATTTTAAACTTGTTTTCCATTGATTGACAAAGTTATGAAACATTTGAACACACATTTCAATCATAATAAACAAATCTTGTCCGAAGATGTCTGAAATATCATCTGGGGCGACCATCAAGAAAATACAAATAAGGGACTTATATTCTGATAATCATCTCAAAGAGGATGTAGCATCAGCCAGCCTCGTGGTGAGGGCGTCACAGAGACAACTAGCAGGTGAGTAGGCACTCTCATTTTTACAAACAAATCCTCTTTAAAACTGCTGCAGTGTACACGTCACATTTTGATATCATGTGGGGCGACCAACCTAAAACTGTAAATTATACGTTTTATATGCAAATCTTTATTTTCAAATTTGTAAATTGTAAATTTATCAGTGATATGTGGTGAGAAGAAGCTAGCTTGGGTCTAAGCATTAGCCTGTTATACTTGATTAAACTTGAAAACATCATCTGGGGTAACCGAGCATCATGTGGGCGACCGCCACTGATTGCTTAAATGATAGAAAACACATATCATGTATTTGTAGTTTCTGTATGCAAATGTTTTCATTCATTATATGCATTTAGTTGTTTTAAATAACTTTCTACATTTCACCACATATTTTTTCTAAATTTCAATAATTTCTATCCTACTTCAGAGAGGACTAAGCTTACTTCTTTTTGATTATTATGTTTTTTATCAGAGAAATGTGTGAATATTAAGCATTCATTCTACTTTTTCCAATTCTTTTTCTAACTCTGTGTATGTTTAAATATACTTTTTTTTCTAGATGGCCCCACTAACAAGTAAAGAAAAGACTGCTCGCTACAGGCAGTGGAAAATGCTGTTCAATGTGTCTGCAGAATGCTGCTATGTTCAACTGTTAAATGAAAATAGTAATGAAAAGACAAACATTGTATGTTTAAGTTAATGAAATGAAAATGAAAAGGAAAAAAGCTGTTCAATGTTATGTCCAAGCGTTTAATGCATTAGTATTGAAAATTTTAATATGATGGTTATGTGTAAAATGAAATAGTGAGGAAACTGTTTATGAAATGTGTCAAATGAAATGGATATGCTGATTCTTCATAAAATTTCATTAAATATGCTGATTCTTCATAAAATTTCATTAAATGTGTTTTAACTATCAAATTCATTGAATAGTCTTAATTGCCTCCTCTTTTTCATCATGTGGGGTGACCACTTGTCATGTGGGGTAACCAACCATATTCAATTCTGCAGTAAATTCAAAAAATGTCTGTCCATTTTGGTCGAAATATAATTCATTGGTATAACATCAATAAGTGGATACTATATCTACACATTTTAAATCAGTTTTATGGATTATATGAGTAAAAAAAAAAATTGCTTTATGAGGATGACACTGCCATTATAGATAAATATGTATTTAACATCATTTGCAATAAATGAAATGACACATGAGTATATCTTTCTTAAACAGTTCAATTAATTACAGATACTTCTTAAAATATAACTTATGTAAAGGAAATCTATTAATTTTAAGATAAATTACGGTCACCCCAAATGACTTTTTTAAGGTCATTGCCCTATTCATTTGAGTTTAAAAGCACTACAATATCTTTGTTTGAAGTTTTCACACACATGCATGTGTAGACTACACTCCAAATGTTTAGAAAATAGACAAATATATTATTATTATTTCAAGTATTTTAAAAATGGGCCTCTCAAAGGCCTTATACGTCATTGACCCAAGGAAGAAAAATAAAGAAATACTTTGTGCACATGTCTTATTAGCATGTTTGGTGATTTTTAGTTTGTAGAATATGGACTATTTAGATGAGAAATGGAGCATAGATCTCTGCAGGGCAGCACTTTTTGCCGAATACTGCCACCCTACCGGTACTGCTATACTATTTAATTTAACAAACTTTGATTTAGACTTTAATTAACCCTCTGGGGTCAAAAGTGTTCTTGGGGTCCTTGAGATATTTTGACATGTCCCGACATTTGTGTTTTTTTCAGTTGTAAGTAAACATGTTAAATTAATGGCACAGGTGAAATTAACTCATCAGAAACAGGGATTAGTGATGTAAACGATTAATGTATTATCGGTTAATTGTCGATAATACATTAATGAATCAAATTTATCAATCATCGATTAACCAGATGTGCGTGCCTGCTGCTCAACCGCAAAACGTGTATAAGCAGCGTGCCGAGTTATGTTTGGGACTTCATCATGACTACGTTTGCGTGTGTATTCGCAGCCTTTTGTTTTATGCAAATGTAAGTTGTAATAGTTTATTATGTGTACGTCTTTCTAAATCTGAATTATCTCATATTGGATGCATTTTGTTAAGAATTGAAGCATGATCTTTAGCGCGCGCAGCTCAAACGGCAATGCACGAGTAATAATGACTATTGGGAGTGTCATATTACATAACATTATAAAGAGAACAATATTGTAATAAAACGTGGTGAATTATTTGGGTTTAGTTGCCCTGTCGCGTTGTTCCAGAAAGAGCGCGTGCACAACATTCAGTCATTCTGAATGGCACGGCAACTTGGTTCAAGTTCACTTGTGCATTCACGTCATTTTGTGAAGATATTATTTGTAATATTATGTTCATTTTGTATATATCTGACGAATCTCATATAGGTTGTGTTTGTGTTTCTTTGATTTAAATAACTAAAGTGCTCAGCGGTTATTCATTCAGCGTGAGCCACTCAAGCAGCAATGCACTAGCTACTAATAATAACGATGATTAATTTGTGTCTTATTAGATAACATTAGAACAATATATTATTAAATTGTTTTGAATTAATTTGTTTTATTTTATCTTTTCAGTGCATGTCCACAACACATTCTGACAAGCACGCATCTGAGGCGGCGTTGGTGACACGTTAAAGTCGTTATATTTGATTATTAAATAATTCATTTAATTGATATTGAAATATCAATTAATCTATAACATTGAAATATTTTACAATCCTACTAGCCCTTTATTTAGATTAAAAACCCTTCTCTTTAACTTGGTGAGGAACATAGCATTTTGAGCAGTATACCCTGTCCAGCTCCCTTAGCGTGCGCCTCTGAAGTATGAATGAAACTATTCCAATCCTGATTGGTGTTGCGTCATGACGTAACATGTGACGACATAACCGGAAGCATAAAAGTGATGCTGACACAACACATATCAGCTTTCGCTCTTCAGCAAGCGTTCTGTGTTTCAAAACTGTCTGTCTTATTTGGTGTTGTTTATCATGGCCAGCGAACAGTTCAAAAGATGTGTGCATCCCTGCCCTAGCTACATCACGGGCGGGGACACACATGCTTTGTGTATAAACTGTTTGGGAGCGCAGCAAGCACGGGCAGCTCTGACTGTGAAGCACTTCCCATCAGAGTGCTGCGCTCCCGGCTGGCGTGCTTTGATGAGCACTGTCAGGCTCGTGTTCCCCATGGTTCCGGTCCTGCGTCCATTGAGGCGGAGCGCCGATTGAGATCTTGGGGTTCGCCGCGGGATCTTGCAGACGAGATGCCATGGCCAGACTTAACATCAGCTGGCCAAAAGAGGAGCAGGGAACGCAAGTCAGAAGCAAATTAAAAAAGCGTTTCCTGCGGCATAGGTCACAGCCTCAGCGCCGGGGTTTGCCGTTTTTTTCCCCGATCTCCACAAAGAGATCTCGAGATCGTGGGATAAACTGCATTCATCCTGTGTCTCCAATCCCAGTGTGGTAGATTACAGCAATGTTATGGGGACATGGGCTATGGGAAGATGCCTAAAGTAGAGGAGGTCTTAGCGGGATACCTTTCCCCTGAGGCGGCATCTTCCCTAAAGACCCCGGCGCTGCCTAGTAAGCCCTGCAGAGATACATCTGCATTAATAGGCAGGGCTTACATGGCGGCAGGTCGGGCTGGTTCATGTCTGCACTCGATGGCTATTTTGCAGGCATACCAGGCTGACCTCCTGAAAGATTTAGATGAGGGGGAGGGGCCAACTCCAGAAGACATTGCTGAGTTAAGGAAAGCCACAGATCTGTCTCTCCAGGCCACAAAAGAGACGGCCTGTGTCATTGGCTGCTCAATGGCAGCTATGGTGGCCACGGAGAGACATCTGTGGCTGAACCTGTCAGAAATAAAGGAGAAAGACAGGTAATTTCTGCTGTACTGTATGCGCCACTCTCGCCTTCTGGCCTGTTCGGTGACGCCGTTACATCGGTGGTCGACAGGTTTCAGGAGGCGAAGAAGCAATCTGTGGTGTTCCAGCTGTAACTCCCCCGAAAGGCAAAATCTAAATCGAGTAGGGTGGGGCAAAGAGATCAGCACCAGCCAGCAGACAGCTCCTCACAACGTGCAGAGCAGATAGAGCCAAGCTCCCGGAGGAGGGGCTCTAGAGGAAACGCTCTCAGACGAAGCCCCTTCAGCCAGAGAGGTGACCTGAGGGATGTCATTCAGGCTAGGAGGGCTTCAGAGAAGAGTTCCTAGCCATAGTGGTAGGACCTCTGAGGGCTGCCCCCTCCGCTGCAGGACAACTGAGGTTGTTCTCAGGTTGAGGTTGAGGTTGTTCTGAGGTTGTTGAGCCCTCTAGGAAATGATGTGTGTTGCCCACCATCAACGACGCTTTGGGCCGCATCTCTTTCCAGCGAATATATTCTAACAAAGAACGAGCATCAGTTATGGTCACAAAAAACATATAGCATATAAATTGTCTAGAGATGTTGGCTGTGTTCAAGGCTCTGATGAGCTTCCTTCCAGACATCAAGGGTTATCATGCCTTGATATGTTCGGACAATACATCTGTGGTAGCCTATCTGAACCAACAAGGGGGACTCAGATCGCACCCTCTGTACAGACTGGCGCATCGGATTATTCTTTGGTCCCAGGGGAAAATGCCGTCAATCAAAGCAATGTTTATTCCAGGGATTCAGAATCAGGGAGCAGACATCCTGTTGAGGCAGGGACTGAGGCCCAGGGAATGGAGACCTCATTCAGAGGTGGTGAAGTTGATTTGGGAGAGGTTTGGGCCACTGGAAGTGGATCTATTCGCATCTCGATAGACGTCCCACTGCCCACTTTGGTTCTCCCTCTCACATCCAGCCCTGCTGGGGTTGAGAGGTGAGAGAGAGTGAGTTGGAATGAGAATAAGAAAGAAAGTTTGCACTTATAGGACATGACCTAGAACGAACCATCAATCATTAATTTAAACCTTTGTTTCTTAGTCAGGTTATTCAATTTACATTAATGCACCAGTTCAGCTAAGAGTCAGAAGTGTTACTTGCAAGTTCTTGCGTGGCTTTGGGAGTTCCCTTTTGTCTGTGTTTCTTGAGAAGGGGTTTCCTGGGTCCGTTGCTTGGCTGTCTCCTCGTACCTGTATCTCTTGAGCGGCCAATCACGTGTTGTGTTGGCAGATGAATGAAAGTCTTGAAGTTGGAAGCGCGTTGCAGGAGAAACGTTTAAACGAAACTTTGCAGCAAACTTAACTTTGAAATGAGACTTTTACAAAAAAGAAAACAAAGGAAAGAAATGAAAGCAAGATGAGTTAGATGGCTTGAATGAGCTGTTTTAACCCTGATCTTGATTTGTTTTCTTTGTCTGCTGGTCTACATTGTTACAGGTCTGTCCGGTTTCGTCATGGCTTCTTCATGAAGATGACTTCTCCCGATGTTCTAGAGAACGACCGCACCTATGATGTTTTAGGAGAAGCGCGCAAGCTAGCTCCAGCACACTCTGATATTTTAGAGAGAAGCACACCTCGAACCTTTGTTCGGGTGTTTAACTCAAAATGGCTTGAATGCTTGAACTAGCTCCAGCACACTCAGATGTTTTAGAGAGAAGCATACCTCGAACCTTTGTTCTGGTTTTCAACTCAAAATTGTGTCCAACCTCCCAGGGGAATTCTGGCCAATCAGGCAATGGCATAATTTAGGAGGTGGATCTATTTTCTACTTATCATAAATTATGCATCATCTGTGATCTCCTTGCTTACAAGAGACCACATTTTAAACATTTTAGATTTATAAGAATACAAAACATTTTACACAGATTTCAATCAAGCCATCTTTTGAATTAAGAGCATTTAATCTTTCTGATAATAAACACAATACTTTTTTTCATTCACACACTAAGAGTAAACTAATAGTTATAACAATTACATGATTTATATGTGATCTAAGCAGA